CATTGATAAAAAAAAAAAAAAAAACTTAAATAGTAAAACATATTCCAGTAATCTTTGTTTAATTTACACCTTCAAAAAAACATTTTTTTTTTTACAGTGTAGACTCCTACGACAAAAAATGAGAGTCACCAAAACCCACTCCTAGAGCTTCACTCACTCCAGTAACCTTCTTTTACTCTTCTCAGCTGAAGCCCATATCCTTTTTACTTTCCATTTTAATCACCTATCACTCCAGATCTCCCTTTACACAAATCCCCGTGTCTCACATGCGTCGGCGCATAAGCATTTACTCACATAAGGATCTCTACAGAAAGTGCTTTGGCAGCAAAAGCTCATGGGCCAGCGGGGTGAGATCGAGAGCGTGGAAGCGTGGAAGGTTAGAGGCAAGTGTCTCTGTGTTCATTTAAATGGTAATACAGCTAAAACGCTGAGTGTGTAGGCTGGGATCGCTATGATCACTATTTCACCTTCTGCTGCATCGTCTTCAAAAAGCCCAGATAGAAAATAAATAAATAAATAATAATAATAATGTGTAATTGTAACTGTGGAGCCAGTGAGAAGAAGGTCTGGATATAAAATGAGAAAATTGACAATTACAATATATGAGATATAAAGGCCCGCAGGAATTTGGTGCTCACAGAAAAGGCTTTAGAAATTGGAAGGCCTGTCATTCACAAAGTTCAACACATACTACATTTCAAAGATTTTCTGTTCCAACACCCCAGCTGAGATTCATGTCTATAATAAAGAGGCTGTACTAGTTCAGTAATAGTGACTCTCAGATCATTAGATAAACAACAGATACAACAACAGCCTCCAATTACTCTGTGTCTGTAATGATCCAAAATAAACATACAAATGAACTGCATTTGCACTTCCACTGACCAATGACATTCAAAAGAACTGAGAAACGCCAAACATGCAGAACACATTGCCAATCAGTGTTGATTTTAAAGGAAATAAATGTGATCATTATGCATAATGACATTCTCTCTCTCTCTCTCTCTATGCATCTTGCTCTTACACGCCATTGCCCCCTCCTCTTCCAGCTCCATTCAAATTATTCTGTACACAAAGGCCACAGTGACATTTTGTGCAGAAAGCAACTCAGAAAGACCCATCCTAATTACAGCCCTTTCACAGCATGCCAGAGCCCACTTAAAACTGAGAATGAAAGCAAGAGAAAGAAAAAAACGCCTAGTCCAAATGCCACTTGCTATTCTTCTCCAGCACCTCTTAAAGCAGCACGTCAATAGCAAAGTCTCTTGATATGTAGAACGCTTCGGTCCATGCTGTTTAGTTACAAAATATCTCTCTGCGGTGGGCGACGTTCAGATCAGGTGTGAGACGGTGGCATCCCGTCATTTGGTTTCCTGATGGACGCTTAGTAAAGACAATCAAGGAGAATGGTGAGTTCAGTTAAAATGACAGATTGTTGACCGCTTTTGACCCCTTTTAGGGCTTGCTGAGCTCATCAGCGTGATGGTGGGACGTGCAGGAGGGTTGTGTGATTGCAATAATGAGTCCTGAGATTGGCTCGCACACACTGCGGCCACTCCAGAAGATCGTGGTATTTGGGGAACGTGGCGATTATATGACCTGTGGACTTTGACTTTTGAGACTGGTGGAAAAGAGCAAGAAGTTCTCTAAAGAGAACCTGTGAAAAATGTCTGATTGAACACAAAACTATTACTGTATCTTTCAACAAATCTTCTGATGCCCATTCATGTTTATTTTGAGCTATGATTAGTAGTAGATGATCGGTTCATGTGCCACTTGAACTAATGCGCCTACAGCGATCTGTTACGCCACATTAAAGAGCGTCAACACACCTTTATTATTTGAATTTCATGATTAAATTGACAAAATTTGAAAGCTGAGACCTTCAGAAATAAACAAACCTTACTGAGATTATTGGACGGGAGGCATGATACAAATAATGTTCAGTGAAGTTTGTGCACGTATGCCAAACATCGCTGTTTTGTATTCCAGCTCAATAGTTTCAGTGCATTGCTACTTGATTCCCAACCTTGAATACGTATGTTGAAAATTACACTTAAGTATCTGTTAAATCAATTATTAATTTGTTAATCTATCCATTTATTCATCCAAGTATTCATTTGTTAATTCATTCAATTTTTCATTTAATCATTTATTTACGTTCGATATTTCACTCATGTATTCATGCATTTGCTTATTCTTTAAAAAAACGTGTTCATTTATTAATTCATTTGAACTTTTGTTCATTCATTACTTCATTAATTGATTAGGTCATTTCTTTGTTCAATAAATCATTCAGTTCATTCTAGGGATATGCCGGTATCAAATTTTCATGTTGCGATTAATTGCTAATGCTTTTATCACGGTATGCGGTATTATCACGATATTCAAAATTTAGTTTAAAAATGTAGCGCGTGATATATCGCATTACCGAATACCGGCACAAGTCTAGTTCATTCACACATTCATGCATTCTTAATGTGTGATATTTGTTTATGTGTGAATTCCTTTTTTCTTTAATTTGCTCATTTGTGAATTCATGCATTGATTCATTCTTTCATTTGTGTCTTGATTCATTCTTTCATTCGTTCATGTCTTTTTTTCATTTGTTCATTGGTTAATGTCAACACCCTTCTCTAACCCATACTGTTATCAGAGCACAGATACATTTGAAATAAACAGAGATTATACAGAAAAACAGGGCAGCACAATAATGTCACAGCACAATATTTGCTGAACTCACAGAATCCGTTGAGGTCCTGGTTGCTGGTGGAGAACGGATCATCCTTGTGTAACGTGCTGACTTTTCCTGTGCTTTTATCCGCTGTGCCTACGGGCCCCATCTCTCTCTGCATGCTGCTGCTGGCTGTCTCCTTCTGTTTTTTAGCTAGTTTCCTTCAAATCCATCCACAACAGGACAAGTTTATACAGATGATCAAAGGAAGACACTTCAGTGTCGGTGCAATGCTTTTGATTAGTGCAACCTGTTTAACTGTTGTCTAAACACGTTTATATGTGTGAAAGTAATCACTTTTTTGTTTTGGACAAACGAAGGTAATTAAAATCAGTTATCAGCTTCGTTACTGCTAGACTTGCCGGTTTTAGTTTAGACATTTATGTATAGCATAAAAGTAACAGTATAAGAGTATAATAGTAACAATATACAGCACTAAACCAAAGCACTGCCACAACACTGCTGTAAACTGACATATAAAATATATACAAGACAAACACACACGGACAGACACTGGGCACATAGAGGACAAGAAGTGAGGCATTTGTCTATTCCAATGGCATTGACTGTAAGATTTCTGTAATATAATCTAAAATATATATTCTGCAGTAATATATGCCAGCAAGTGAGAATGAGAGAGAACAAACCTTCTCAAATCTATAGAGAGAGAAACTCAAAACCTTGCCATGCAGAACAAAGCCAATTGAACACTACAAGTCTATTGATCAGGAAAAACACATTCACTTGTAGATAATGCAAACAAATACATTAATGATATATTAATATATTGTAATGCTTTCTCTTAAAGGGACAGTACAGAACTGTTGCAATGGGCAGCGCACATATGGATGACAGCTGAAATGTTTCATTAACTACAGATTGTATTGCACTATGAAAGTATTTTATCCTGATTAAAGCTGTGACACGTTGAATAAGTGACCTAGCAGTTCTTACTTTGACACATTGAGCTGTGCTGTTCAAATGTGGTTTGCAACATTTCCTGATCTCATCCCACCTCTCAAAAATAAAAAATAAATAAAAAATAATCTCCGGCAGTCTTTATAAAGGCAGCAGACTTCGCTTCTGCTGGTCTTTGATTTGTTGATTTGTCTGGCCGTTCATAAGCTGAGGTCTCCCCACACTTTAGTGCACAGAACTTCAAGGAAGATATTACTGTCAGCAAAGGATTGGAGTCATCCAATAAAATGACTCTGATTCTCCAGGTCCCACAGAACACCATTTGACCTCAATATGTGCTCGCTTCTCTTATGGGGCCGAGCTGATAATAACTCTTTGTTTTGTTATTTTCTCTGCTGGGAATTTAAAAAAAATCTAATAAAGATTCAGCTTCCTCAAAAACCAGGCCAACCTTTACAATTGGGGCCATTTTAGCTAGGTTGGAAAATAAATTCAGTAACATTGGTTTTTGGTGACTGAGGATCAAAAGAGGACGAAAAGTGTTCAGAAGCAGGTCTTAACACCAAGAAGCAATAAGAGAGGGGTCACAAATTTCCAATTAAGCAGCCAAGTATCAATGTGATGTCTATAAAGTGCTGAGATTTCATTGTAGAAACTGCAATGCACAAACTCTATGCCAAAACCTAGTGCGCTCCCTACCTAGACAGCACATTCAACAATCCATCAGCTATGCTGAAGGTCACAGAATTTTATAATACAACAGCCATCAGATAATAAAACCCATTGATTGCTGCAGTAATGGGTCTCGTTTCAAGTGCCAAATTCTGGACATATTGTAAGTGGCATAAACTATAGATAATCCTTATTTAATGAATGTCAGCGCAGCACTTCATTAAAAGTGAAGGCTATAATATAGTTAGATCACCATAAACAGTATTTATAGCACCAACTTTTGTTAATGGCTTTTTGTAAAAGAGAAAGAGAGAGGGGGGAACAATGAGGAGATAGCTGTAAAATCTGGCTTGATTTTGCTCTTCATTCATGCATAAAATTCACCAAATGTTCATTAATAAGCATATCACACTTGGTTGAGCTAAAACTTGAAAGGAGGAAATAGTAAAAAGACATATGCACTTGTGACATCAGAACATGCAAAGACAAGGCAGCTGGCCAGGAATTGCAAGTCAAAGAAGTATTAGTAAGCATGCAGAAGATCTCAAAATCACCTTTATATTAACCACTGTTGTTCAGTTGCTTGCATGCACAAGGTTAACTTGTAGGGTGTGGCGTGGCGTTAGCAAGGACAAGGTCATGGGTTTGATTCCCAGGGAATACGGTGTTAAAATTATATTGACGTGTTTGAATGCACTAAAGTCACTTTGGATAAAAGCATCTGCCAAACGTGAAAATGCATGCACACACAAATTTCTGGAGTAGACATGGTGATGAATCAGGAATAAACATTAACATCACCATATATTATGATTGCTATACTACTATACCATTCTAAAATCATAGCACACTGAAAATGATATGCTAAAGCGGACTGTGGTATTGATTTTAAAACATTATGTGCTAATGCAAGCATAATGTCTTACTACCTACACAAACACATGCACTTTTGTATGCAAAAGTACAAGCAGGGCTTAAAACTAACATTTTGCCACACCTGCCAAGGGCTGACGACTTGAGAAAATTTAGTGGCCATAAATATTTTTTTGTCCAGCCATGAAACTCTGTGTGCATTTATTATTATTTTTTTATTTATTTATTTTATTTTTTTTTATATTTATGTATTTATGTTTTTTTCTTTGCTTTCAACAGTTAAACCATAGAGCTTTTAGTCTGGCAGAAAACTGCAGGGAAATTTATTTTTTGAAATGCATCCCTTTAATTGACAACAGATATATAAATGATACTCATTATGAATTTGGGAAGATGTTTGGGTCCTGTTGCATTTTCAAATGCACGTTATAATCGACTGAAACTCACAGCACTTACAGAGATTGTGTTTGTGTGGAGCAGCATGTACTGCGAACCAAGCCGCTCTGCGACCCTGAAAACACTGTGAAAAGTTCACAGCGTGGCACATTAGATTATACATTTATATAATTACAGTACAGTCTTTGCGATTTGATAATCACACTAAACCATATCATGTTCTCAGGCGTGGTTAGAATTAATTTAAAAAAAACTTACTGGCCAACTGGCGAGTAACACTGTTTCATACACTTGCCAACGCTGATTTTTACTCACATTTGGCACTTGGCGAGTGTTAATTTGCACTAAATTACAAACTGGAAGTTTTTAATCATTATTTTATCATTATATGATTTATTGGAAGTCAAAATATCTTTCCTGTCTTGCTTTTTCAGTTTGTAAGTGCAAGGACAAAAGTGAAGATGCACACTGATCGCTTTACTAAATCTGAACATGCATGCTGAAAACCACACTCAGTTATGTCCATAACATAACCCTGCTGAATATGAGAACGACTCGCTCTCTCGTCATGGTTAGCTTTAGCCTGTAGCTGTCTGTCTATGCCCTCTCAGATGATATCCTTTTGAAGGAGCTCCTCCTGGTTGTGTTTCTACTTTCATCTATATTTCAGGAGCGGGGAGAGAGCGGGGAGAATGCACATAGTAGTCCGACTGTGAACCTGAGCTTTTAAATCCTTTAACGCGTGAGGTAAACATCCTGCAGCTAGGCTCTGTTGCACACAGTGCAAATGAAAGAATCCCGTGCAGTAAAATGCTGAGGCAGACATAACTATAGAGGTAATAGTGAATAGTTTAAGCGTAACGGAAAAGTAATAAAAAGTCGAGGGGAAGTCCGCAGACCAAAGGGATTTGAGCTGAACTAGCAATAGTCGATAATAATAAGATAACAGTGGAGCAATATCAATTTATGTGCACATGAGGGCAATTTATAACTGGGCCTGCTAATGTTTCAAAGCAATCGGAAAAACTTGTAGGTATATAGTGCACAAGATGGTTTATGGGTCAGTATCGACTGTTTTGCTAGAAAATGGAAGTACTGCGATGTTAAAACATTGGAGCAAAATGTGATGAAGTATAATACTGACTCAAGAGTTTATTTCAAATTGAACTTGTCTTCATTTCAAAAAGCTTTGTTCGCCATGGCAAAGTTAGATTTGGTACTAAGATTAATTGTCACAACATTAACTTGATTTTCATTTAATTCATTCTCTCACTTTTTTCTTCTAATGAACTAAGGAGGTAATTTTATAATATTTCTCAGGAATTGTTAAAAGTACTTAGTAGAAAATGGTATTAGGAAATGATAAAATAAAAAAATAAAAAGGATTGTTGGTTATGTTCTGTATTTAATGCTACTTACAGGTAATAAGAGTAGGAATATGCATTTCTTCTGGAGCAGCAAGATAAGAACAAAAAAACAAAACAAAAAATAAACAAAAAACAACAACAACAAAAAATGTCAAAAATTTGAACATTTAATATAATAAAATAAAAAATATGGAAATATGAAAATATGAACATAAAAATGAAATAAAATATAAAATGTAAACAATATTTAAAAAAATGCAAATTAAAATATAATCATTAAAATATGGAAATATAAAAATATGAAAATACCACAATTAAAATAAAAAAATACAATAAAATAAAATAAAAAAGGAACCAAAAAAGGACAAACACATTGATTAGTGATCAGTATTGTAAATAAAGAGATGTTTAATGATAAAAATAGTAAAACTTGCCACAAGTAAAACTTGTTGCTTCATATAGCTAAGCTATGGATTTCTGCTGCCTGAGGCTGTAAATTTAGGTTAGCAAATGGCCTTTGCATCAGTAATAGTTAGTAATAGTAAATCTGTAAAAAAAAAAGATAATTAAACAATAAATGAAATGAAACTGCACATCTGGCTCCCCTTCAAGCGAAAAAAAAAATGTGTGAAAGAGAACAAAATGAAGGAATAGTCTATATACCTGTACTGGTGGGAGTGTGTGTTTGGACAGCTAAAGAGATGGACAGGAATGGTGGGTGTTTCATAGACATGTTGTAGCTCTGTTCTCTGTTATGAGCTTAACAGAGACAGAAAGAGAAAGGAGGAGGACAAGAGACACCAAAAGCAGTTGGCGAACACATCACGCATGTGCTACTCCAAAATGAGGCCTTGTCATCAGTGTCTCAGCGCTGACGTCTCTGTGGACCGGTTCCTTCCAGGTAAAGACGAGAGGAGGTGACATACGGCAAGCTAGGACAGCGATAGCAGCCTGATACCATAATAAAGACCAGATGGTGTCTGTTAATGGCGATTCGATTAACTGTAATATCGGTGATGACATGCAAGCAAAGTTGTCAATTAGTGACTTCTATAGCACCCTAACTGCTCGCTTTATCGCTAAAGCAGCACCAAAGTAAATATATTTAATGACCCTGTGACTTCTCTGTAGGCTATAAAAACACAGTTTGGATATGGGCTGTTATGAAAAATGTGTTTTACAATGGGCTGACGGTGCTAAAACAGATGCAGACGGTCGATGCGTTCGGCGGCATGCATATGCAGCGGGGGCATCCATCTTTGGCCATTTCATCTCAATGGCCCTTTAAAATGGCCTGCTGACATTGTTCTGATTATATTAATAAAAGAGAGCGAAGTGAAGAGCACCACGGCGGGCGAAGGTGGCCATAAATATTAATAGAGTAGAACTGCGAGGAGCTCGCAGCATAAGTGGCCTCTTTATTATTTTTTTGGGCTCTCCCGTGATTTATCATCATTCCTGAAATGAGACGCATTTCTGGTGTGAGGAGAAAGTGTGATACCCACAGTGATGTTACATGCCTGTACTGCCACTTTACATGGGAGAAAGACGGGGTAAGAGAAAGGGTTCAGAACTTGACAAAAGGTTGGTTTGTTTAACAAAGTGCCAAAGACTTCATACAACTTTATTTCAGCTAATGACTTATAACAAAGAGTGAAAAATTTAAGGGGGTCTGAATACTTTCCGTACCCACTGTATACACAGACACATTTCTATATTTCTTCTGAGGAACTAAAAATTATTATTTCATGCAAGTAAATATATGTATATGTGTGTATATGGAATATATGCATGTGTGTGTGTGTGTATACAATCTAACATTTATATATGAAGAGTTCAGATGCAAAAGCCTCTAAGTGCCGTCTGAAATTTTCATCTAAAATTAGCATTTTTATCAAGCTCCTATATTTATGTTCATTTATTTCACTTTAATGGCATAAAAAGGACCTATACATTGCCATTAAAGTAACATTACTGAACCTAAACATAGGAGCCTGATAAAAATTCTATTTCTTTTGAGGAACTAAAATGTTTGAAATTGATATATATACACTATCGTTAATTATTTTTATTTCTGAGGATGTCAGATTAAGCTATTCACACAAACACATACAAACTGGTACTACCATTAAAGTAATGCTATCACATGGCAATACCATGGTACTTTGCTATATACCAGTGTTGGGGAGTAACTAGTTACATGTAACGGCGTTACGTAATTTAATTACAAATTAAATGTAACTGTAATCAGTTACAGTTACTAAGAAAAAAATGTGTAATTAAATTACAGTTACTTATGAAAATGTTAACGATTACAAAGGGGATTACATTTGAATATTTACACACATCCACATACAGATTTAATTGATTTCTTTCCCAAATTGCACCGACTACTCTGAGACATACGGCCCTATAATTTCCGCGATGCGGAAAACACAGACTGGTTCAATGTCCAAAACAAAATTACTGCCGTAATATGTACCTGAATATAGTAACAAGTTATGTCTGTATTTGCATGGCACTCCAAGATAATAATAAAAATAATAAAATGGTAACACATAACTGATTGTATTATATAGAAAAAAAACGATGATACTTTCATATGAACCATTTTACTAAATTATCTTTTTCTGTCTCTCTCTCTCGATGTGTTATTCTATAAGATTGCCCTCCTATAGCAATCATCTATTATTTATGTCAAATTGCTTTAAGTCTAGGTCTGTCATCGATCGAAACCAAGAGCTTCACTGCCGTGTGCTGAGTGCAGGGCCATACTGCAATCTTTCGGTGTGTGTGCGTATGTGTGTTTAATGGTCTGGGACTGAGTAGTGTCCGAACGAACTCTGTCCAAGATCGACTCCCTCATCGCTCTATCGTAATGCTGACTGAGGGAGAAATAGACCAACACTTTGTGTAATAGCTGTGCTGCCTATGCATATGATTACACACTGAATCATCACAGCCGACTATTATCAGCAGGGCCAATCAGAAGCCACTATATTTCACATAATATACCTACACCTCATAAGATCTCTTAGCATTGGAGCTCTGATCTGGAATAAGATAAATTCACTTATGTACTTCTGGCTTCATGTTAAAAAGCAAAATGGATCCAAAACCAGGATATCTGATTGAAGGTATTTTAAGAGTTCATGTCATGAAAAGTCAAATCTACCTCCATCTTTTAGGATTCTATGCAAATGAACGATCCCAACGTGAGGAAGGTTTATTTTTAACAAGGTATTTTAACCGTTCATGTGGAACAGCGGCAGATCATTTCAGCATGGACCGTTTTATGGATCTGTCACAAAGAGTCTGTAAAGATGATGTTACTGAAAGACAAAAAACTGGACATTTAAATCTTTTAGTAAAAATTTCCCATATAATCATTGTTTTTCAGGAAAATGAAAAACAGGGGCTACATGATAAACTGACCACAAAATAAAAAATAAAATAAAAAAGTTTATGACCCCTTTAAAGATGAATAAGAATTTCCAAAAAGTCAGTGCTTCCACATCAGTACCTTGAAATACAAATTGCTATTAAAAGGGGCTGATACATGTCAGCTTATGGAATTTTGCTATGAATATTTCAGTGCTGTTATGTTTAAGGATTTCAAAGAGACCTTGTTTAATATCGATTTATGGTGCTACAACATTCTATTTAACAGGCTGAAAAGAAAATCTACAACGCATCGGTTTCTGGTTCCATACTCCGAAGAGCTACTTTACAGCCTATGCAATTCCGATGCGAAAACGTACCATAAACCATAAATCGTTTACCTGTTACTGATGCCCTCTGTAATTAAAGCCAAACGACCTTAAGCACTGACATTATAATGTGTTCTCAGTAATGCTGCAGTTGTGTGGATTTGGTAAGATTACAGAAAAGACCTGGCAACCTCGGAGCTTTAAGCTAAATCCTCTATACAGTTGGTTGTGTAGGTGTCTTGGCGTGGGTGTAATCACCCTTTGCCTTCATGAACATAACATATTAGCTTAACGGCGTAGTGCGGCACACGAGGCAGGGTTGTGACAGTATTCAAGAGGAATAATTACCAGCTAGCCCAGATTGCAGTATAAAGTGTCATTTGAAGCCACTCTCTGAGCGAATGAAGTGGCCTTTTTACTGTAATTGTTGCACCATGGGACATATGCTAATGCTATTTATGAGAAGGTGATCTAACAGGCAACGGGATTCGCTGTGGAAATTAAACTTATTTTAATATGGTAATGTAGTGACATTTGAACCGCCCTTAAATTTCCCGGCACAAATCACTGCAGATTTCTCTAACATTTAACAGTGACAATGCACAACAACAAGCAATTAAAAAATAAGAGTGAGAATGCAGAAAAAAGCACATTAAACACAGGCCACATTGATAGCGAGCAAAAGCATAATACTTTCACAATTAACACCAATAACCACTATTGCTCTGTTCCAAAACCTAGTAAACTGCCAACGGAGACAGCATTTTAAGGCATCATAGACGCTCAACAGATGCTGCCTTGTAAGATTCCTTGCTTTTAACCAATCCTTGACGTATCCTTCTCTTCAAAATTTTTCTTCTGTCGTCTATTTGAGTCTGATTATTTTTTTTCACTGATCTCATTATGCATTTAGGGATTGCTTTGAATGTATACTGAAATACAATGATTTTTAATATTCACTATTATTCATCTTGCATAGGAAATTTAATTTATTTGAAATAGCTCATGATGTATTTTGGGATTGCATTTAATGTACTGTATACTGCAATACAACCACTTTGAAATTAAATTCAGCATACATTAGCACACTACCATTATCATGATGTATACCTTCATATTCATATATATTTATTTGATGTATTTATATGCTAATAATAATCAAGATTTTTTTTGCATAGTCGATTTTATCATCATTTTGGATTTATTTCTTTCACTGAGATCATGACATTGAAAATCATGATACATTCAATGCAATCCTAAACTTGACAATGCAATAAAAATCTATTAATATGCTTAAATTTGACTCAATATTGTGCTATTTTTATGCTTATTAGAGTATTGCATGGTAAATTCTCCTAAAATAAGTTATGTC